CCCCCCCCCCCCCCCCCCGACCCAAAATTCTCACGTCCGTGAGACAGCCTGCAGCATTTCCTAGATTCTCGGCTCTACTTTTTTCCCCAAAGGCATCAGAGAAACTAAAAGCAAAAAGACAAACAGAGCCCCTTCACATGAAATTGAAACAGCTGCCCAGTTGCTATCACGCTCCGTCCATCCTCTTCACTCTTTCAGCACTCCTCCTGACTTTACGAGAGCTTCCCTCTTCTTCAGCTCCAGCAAGCCCGTCTCCTCTCTTTCGCCCCGCCTTCCCAATCCGATACAACATCTCCTTGTTATGCTCAATATCGAATAATGTTTGTTAAGGAAACACAAAATAATCATAAGGAGAGAACTTAATATATCGTCAAACAGAGCTTCCCGGTGAACCGTAGGCAGAGAGGGAGGGAGAAGAGGACAACAAACAAGGGGCCGTGACAAACTGTTTCGTCGGAGTTTCTCCTACCTACTCATATAGGTAATCTGCACAACTCCAGTGCTCATCCTCTTTGCAATCCCTTAGAGAAAAGGGTTCAATCTCCCTTCTACGTCCTTATCTCTTCCTCTCTTGCACAAGCGAAAGCGGTGTGCAACACACACACACACACACACACACACACACACACACACACACCGGGCTACACGGTGAGTCCTTATACATCAGTCAAATGCATCCTGGGCGGACTGCCAGTCGGGGCTTCAACCTCCTGATGAGTCGACGAAAGTCCAACAAAACAGTCTTGCCCAGTCATGCTTCTCTGCGGAGTTGTCTATAGGGAACACGACTACACACACACACACACACACACACACACACAGAGACCAACCTCAGTAGGACAGTAGGGGGTGATATCACAAATAACCTTCTGAAGAATGCACAAGTCCAGATAGCTCCTCCGTGTGCACCACGGAACTGAAAATTACGAACACAGACCTCCGACTAGCAATGTCAGTCCCAGAAGTGGCACCTCAACTTCCGCAGCCACGCGAGCGAGAGAGGTGGTAAGATAGCTGGGTGCATAAAATACATGTACAGATTCTACACATATCTAAGCATGAACCATGAGCAACTTCACATAATGGTGGAAGGTGTAATTCCTCAGAACTCCTGCGTACTGCGCAGGGCTCGGCAATGCAAAAACTGCTTACTTGCGCCAGTCGCCCTCCCTCCCAACACGGGGCACCTGAAATGCCATCGACCAACATGCACGTATAAGACCCACTAGGTATATTACATTTCATTTATCCATTTATCCACAAAACTTGGCAAAAGATGGCTTTCAATATTGCAATATTTCTGCACTTTTTCTGCAGTGAAAGTAAACATAATAACATAAGCTACACTTAGAACTGTAAGTAGTACTAAAAAAAAACTATCACCAAACTCCATATTCAAGAAGGTAAATCCTAACCGTTAGATCCTCTAGAAACGAACACTGACCTAGAGACGATCACAAATCTTGAAATCTCCATTTTATCGAAGTATAAATCGAAGTATAAATCTATGTACCCAACCGACGACAGCATTCATGAGGACTGAATTCAGTTCTGTGGGACTAAATTTGGTTCCGGTTTAGCAGGCTTCCTTTGCCATCCCCAGCTGGATTCATTCGCCGGGATGTTCATCGATAATCTGTGCCAGCAAGCATATCAAAGAGTCCGTGATGTCGGTAGGTCTGTCCCTCACTGAACATGACCCCTCCTCCTCCTCACTCTTCTGACATCTGCCGCAGGGCCTGCACAGATCCTTTGTCAGTTCGTCAGATGCCAAGAATGCCTCACCCTTGTCCTCATTGTCGACACGACTGCCGCTCTTGCTGTCATTGTCATAATCGCTGTTGTCAGTGTTTTTTTCCGGTGCGGCGCGAGCAGGATCTTGCTGGATTGGCGTCAACGATGCGGCATGCACAAATTCAATGTCAAAAACAACTGGAGGAGCCACCCATCTGCGGTTCCTGGCAGAGGAACGGTGTAGGCATGCCAATTTGAACAGCCTTGGCGCCATCAACAGCTTCAGGTCGCGAGAGGCAGCCTCAAACCCCGCTCGATTTGACGCCGCCTGCGGCCCCACGCAGACAAAACCTATCCACGATACCCCTTGCGTCTTTGGCGGCTTCGTTGCACCGCACATTCTCTTCTGCGTCTGAAACGTAGCCCAATCTGCCGGGCGCTGCTGCTCCAGTGCGGGTGCAGGATCTCCAGATCCAATCCGAAGCGAGAACGTCATCACTTGTTTCCCAGATGTCTTCACCATCTTGACATATGCCATGGCTAGCGCCGCCACACTCTGGTAGAATTTCCACGTCGCCGGGCCACTAAGCCATAACTGCAAGGAGTCGAAGGTGAGCGTTGGTGTGCTCTCGTCCTGTTCCGCTATTCCTCTTTCCTTCAAGAATGAAGGCGACAAGTCCGCACTGCCACTTTGACGCCATATAATCTGAAAGTCCGGCAAAACCGACTTGGGCGCGATCACATCCAAGTTTGTCTCGTACTTCAACGAGAGCCTTCGGAGGTGCCTTGTCCATGACAGTGCCCTCGCAACATCATCCCCAGCGAGGTTGGCGAAAGCGAGATGATGCATGTCCTTCAAGGCCAACGGTACAAGCCGCCGAAACCTTCTCGATACTGCCATACATCGAAACAGCGTGGGTGTGTCGCCAACAATGTTCCGGAATATGAACACCAACAGATTATCGGGCAAGCTTTCCAAACCGCTCTCGGCTTTATAGGCATCCTCGTTTCCGTCTGCATCTCCGTCTCCGTTCGGCGCGCAGTGCAGTGGCACATAATGGTCCCGTGACTCCTCCTCCTCCTCCTTGTCATTGCCATCCGAACTCTCGTCGCTCATCTCCAGCGAGTCCGTTAGCAGTTGCAGATCATCACTTAGACTACGGCGCAGAGATTTCCAGGACGACCGCCGTGTGAGTTTATGGTTGTCATCCTTCGAAAAACAGGAGTCCAGAAATGCGTCATTTGTCTTCCACCCTCTCAGACCTCCTTCCAACCGCCCGTCTCCAACGTCCCGCTGGTCATCTCGTAGTGAGTTCGATCGCGCACAAATCAAGTGGCCAAGGTTCCACAGGCGCGAGAGACGTTTGACAATGGTAGGCACCATCTCCCCAGTACCAGCAATCTTTGGTCATCAACAGGAGTCGACACGTACAGCCCAAGCCCACACTTGGAAAACTCTGCACATCGCAAAGGCAGGCATTTTAACCTATAGGTGCTACTAAGTGAATGAACCAGGCTGAATGAGACACACACGTCACTGAATGAGACACACTGTTTCTCAAAAAAGAAAAAAAGAACAAACAGAGGTTCCGCTAACAAGTCCACACTGCCCACAACTTTTTTCCTCTGAGAGTCACTTTTCTCCCTTCTGCTTTCCCCTCCCTCTCTCTCTCTCTCTCTCTGTCTCTCTCTCTCTCTCTCTCTCTACGTGTGTGCTACCATTAGAATAATCTTCACCATGGATCATCAATGGAAAGGCTGATCTATGCCCCCCTTCTTTTTTCGTCCCTTTTCTCTCTCCTCCCCCTTTTGCTGCCAAATTCAGTTTCCCTCGTTTTCTTCTGTTGTTGTCTGAAATACGACGCATAGCCAGCCAGACAAGGCATCTGCCAGCATTTTCATGTTCTTGTTCGGTCCGTTTCATTCCTCATTAAACCCACTAGTACCTTTGCCGCGTGGGAACATAGGGAGCCTCGGGTGGGCCTCATGGCAGCCATCGTCGGGCCCGGCCTCCGAATTTTTTGCAGTTTGGGAAAACTGCCACTTTTCCCTATTTTCCAAACACTGGCGGAGGTACTAGTGGTTTAAGAGATTCTGGCCGTTGATCTTTGCTATCTACGGTCAATATCGCTTATTTCGTGTACCTGGGACCTAGCCCCGGCTCATCAGGAGGCTGAACCCTTTGCAATCTGCAGCAGTCCCCTAACCCCTCCCTCATACGGTGAAGTGACCACCCACCTAAACCCCTAAAACGCGATAATCCACCTTAACCCCTGAAATTACGAAAAGTGATAATCCACCTTCACCCCGCTTGCCGTGAGCATCAACGACCAGCCATAGTCCGTCTGACGGTACCGTTCAAGCTGCCTACGGAAAAGAGTAGGGGCAGAGAGGGAGGGAGGGGGAGAAGAGGGGAACAAACGAGAGGGGCGGTGACAAACTGTTTCGTCGTCGGAGTTTCACCTCCCTACTCATCAATCAGGAGAGGCTGAACCCTTAAAAACAGTCTGCAGAATCGCCGAGCTAACTGATTACAATGTAAGTGATAATACAACTTAACCCGGCTGTGGTTGAGCATCAACGACTGCCCGACAACTGATACACCTCTGACTGAGGTGGTGGGGACCACCAACCACTGCCCTCAAGGTGACAGTGACGAAAATCAAAGCAGGCTATCACTCCTTAACCACACCAGATGGAAAACTCTACAGACTGTCTGTCGGTTCATACCCCATCACAAGCAACAAGCAAGCAGTGGTTGGTGGTCCCCACCACAAGCAACAAGCAACAAGCAAGCATAACACCCACGAAACAAAGAAAGGTCTGTCACAGCCAAAAACTGCACTCCAGACACGCCGCTGGCATTCATATATATATCGTCACAAACAGAACTGCCCGGTAAAACCGTAGGCAGAGAGAGAGAAGAGGACAACAAACGAGGGGCTGTGACAAACTGTTTCGTCGGAGTTTCACCGACTCATCAGGAGGCTATATATATGTATATGTATATATGAGAGTTCACCCGCCTGATGAGTCGGTGAAACTCCGACGACACTGTCACAGCCCCTTGTTTGACGATATATGTTGTCACAATGTCAATTGGAGTGTATCTACATGTATATATATTGTCACATTGTGAATCAGAGCGCGAAGGCGAAAAAAAGCAAAACAAGAAAAGGAAAACAAGAAAAGGAAAAGAAGGAAGGCAAGCCCCATCTGTTCATCACCTCTTACGTACAAGGCCAGCCACGTGGATGACAGGTTGAGCGCTGGCTGGCCCCATCCCCGTGTGTCACAAGGACCCACTTGAACGCTGCCAAAAAAAGGCAAAAAAGAGGTAAAGAAAAGGAGGAAAGGAAACCAGTCCTCACACAGGCAAGAGAAAGAGAAAAGGTCAAAGAAAAAACAAAGGAAGAAAGCAAATGACACATCCCACAGATAAACCAATTGCCACTGTCACTACAGAGTTCAACATATTTTTTTATTTTTTCCTTTTTTCTTGTTTTCTTTTTTTTTTTCTCCACAAATTTAAACTTTTTCTCTTTCTTTCTTTGATCTGTCCTACGATTAGTGTTGCTCCTGATCGCTTAATTCCATTGACCAGTCAGGAAGAGGAGAGGAGCCCCCACCCCACCCCGGCAGATAGGACAGGCACGCTGAGGAGGATGACGTGGATGTTTGTTCACAAGGATACCCAAGGAGAGCTACTTCAGCACTACACAGCATTCAGCAGGACGGCTAGCACGGACCATCCCCCCCCATCAAAACAGTCCTGACAAAGAACATGCTGTCTGTCCACACGTCAAAAAAAAAAAAACAGGAGGACGTTCATCTGTCCCACAAATGGTTAACAGGTACCCCCACTTTTCACCCCTAGGGTAACCTTCACATCCATGAGATTGGTGTGAAGTATTGTTAAAATGACCCTCTGTTTTTTTTACAAACGGGGGTGAAAAATGGGGGGTCGGTTAACCTTCTGTCCCACAGTGGGGCATCATGCAGTCCTGATAGCGTCCTTGAGCACAACAGGGAAAACGAATATCTGGGTGATAGGGATGTGTACAATGAGGAAATGTTGGACACCCTTCGGCACAGACGGCGGCGGCTGCAATACATTGACAATGTTGATGACATAGGTGATGAATTCCGCACGCAGCCAAGACGCACCGCGTCCCTGTCCCGACAGGTGTCACACGAGAGGGGATCAATAATCTAGAATAAAGAATGATTCGGTAATGCACACAGAAATTCATTTATATTGAAAAAGTAGCATGAATCATTGTCCCACCATCCCACAGTTCCCACTGGGCAGCTGCACGAATGAGTGCCATATGATGCCCGGATCTGTGCAAAATACAGGCAGAAACATGAGGATGGTCACTAAGGTCATCGCTTGGCGTCGCATGATGCATAAGGTGGCGACCGTGGAAAGCTAGCTGTAGGCTCGGCATACACAGACAGCATATCTACGGTTTTGGTGTGCGGAAGAGAGAGAGAGAGAGAGAGAGAGAGAGAGAGAGAGAGAGAGAGAGAGAGAGAGAGAGAGAGAGAGAGAGAGAGAGAGAGAGAGGGACAAGGGGAGAGAGAGAAAGGGAGGGAGAGACGGTGAGAGAGAGGGATAGAGATGGGAGAGAGGCAAGAAGAGAGGGAAAGCATTACAGGTGGGTATTGGATTCCACTGTGACTACCCAGGGACGGGGAGGAAAGGGGGGGTGGGGGGAAGGGAGGGAGGGGAAGGGGGGGAAATGGGGAAGAAGCTGTGAAAGATTACACTGAGAAGGCGGTATAGGACTCTCTCGTACCTCCTTTCTGTTCCGGTAGAGAGAGGAGCAGGGAGGAGGGAGGAGGGAGGAGAGAGGAGAGAGGAGGGAGGACATGACACAATAACATCGCTGCCCTTCCACCTTGCGTTAGGTTACACGTTTCTTGGCTCGGTGAGGAGGACAGATGAGTTTCACCCCCACTTGTCGCCAAACACGTGGCAATTATACCCAAAAAAGGGGATTTATAAAAACCAAAAACATTTCACGATCCCGAGTGCAGAGAGGGCGCTGCTCAGGAAAATCGTATGGGGGTAGCACGGCCTAAATAAAGAAAAAAAAAGAGGAGAAGCCCCAAACATTACTTTACTCCATCTCATTCCTCTCTTCCTGTCCCTCTCCCGTCTCTATGCCTCTCTCTCACCCTCTCCCCCGCCCTTTCTCTCTCTTCCCCCTTGTTTCCCATCTCGACCTCTCTCTTCCCCCTTAATTCCCATCTCTCTCTCTCTCTCTCTCTCTCTCTCTCTCTCTCTCTCTCTCTACCCCTCTCCCTTTTCTCTCTCTTCCCCCTTGTTTCCCATCTCTCTCTCTCTCTCTCTCTAACCTACACTGGATACCATAGCAGCAATCGTCAAACAGAGCTGCCCGGTAAACCGTAGGCAGAGAGGGAGAAGAGGACAACAAACGAGGGACTGTGACAGACTGTTTCGTCGAAGTTTCACCGAGTCATCAATCATCAGGATGCTTAGCCCCTCTACGGTCTACGGAGCTCCTTAACCAGCGGTGATGATGATACTGTAATAAGTGATAATCCACCTTAACCCCAGTTGCGGTTAAGTATCACCCACTGCCCAACCACTGCCGATTGATGTTTATACATACACATTGGAGCGTGTACATACATATATATATAATCTAATCTAATCTAATCTAATCTAATCTATATAGTGGGTTCGAGTCCCCACGGCATCCATTGGACTCCCCCCGGGCCCCCTACCGCACACTTCGGGCTCACCAGCGGAGATAGATGGCTTGCCCCCCTGGCTGGCGGAGGCAGGGTATTTGCAGCCTGCCATCCCGCGCCAAGGTGGGTTAGGAACAAGCTGCGGTGATCAGACAGGGGTGGAGGTCGCTGCCCACCCATAAGGGGCCCAGCTGGTGCGCATTGAGCGACTGCAACAATCAATACTTGAAAAAAAGTGGACTTACATAAGAGGTTAGGTAGAGTGAGGTATATTAGTGAAGAATATAGATTAGTTTTTTTTGTAAATTATATATTGTCACATGATATCAGAGCGCCGAAGCGAAAACCGAAAGAAAACAAGGAAAACAAGAAAAACTTAATTCATTTTTTATCTTCTTCCTTACAAGACTCCCCCTGTTCAGAACCTCCTCTTGCGTACAAGGCCGCCCAAGTGGATGTAGGTTGAGCGGAGGCTGAACCCACCCCCGTGTGTCATATCGAACCACTTGCACACAGCCAAAAGGCAAAGAGGCAAAGAAAAGAGGAAGGGAACAGCCAAATAATACAGAACAGGGCGCAACAAAACAGATCCCAGATGACTCAAGTCCCACATTTAAGCACCGCCCCAACACACACAGGCTAAACGACTGGACAAGACCAACCAGGATGTCAAAACATTCTTGTCTGCAAAGAAATAAAAAAACGTCCCAGATACATATCTATACACAGCAGATGGCCTTGTTCGACATTCCTATTCGGCGTCATCGTAATACACATATCATATACACACATATACGAGGTTCAGCCTCCTGATGAGTCGGTGAAACTCCGGCGAAACAGTTTGTCACAGCTCCTCGTTTGTTGTCCTCTTCTCCCCGTCCCCTCCCTCTCTGCCCCTACGGTTTACCGTAGGCAGCTCTATCGTCAAACAGAGCTGCCCGGTAAGCCGTAGGCACAGAGGGAGGGGGAGAAGATAAGTGATAATCCACCTTAACCCAAAGGTACCTGTGGTTCCAATACACAAGAGGCAGGCTGGAATTACCGAGCACGGCGCAAGGCGTGCGGGGTAAAACGGATTCACCCTTGACCATGATCGCTTACTGATTACTCTACGGAAAAAAGACCAAAAAAGGCGGGCGCGCGGAAGGCGGCCGGGGGAGAGGAAGGGGGGGGGGAGGCTTGAAATAGATTTGATTAGAAGGACAAGCAGAAGGAAAAACGCGTTGAATAGATTTGCATTCTCACTCCAGACAACAATCTGTCCGTTCGCGCCGATCCAAGGATCGAACACGCGACCTCCACGTTAAGAAGTAAACACTCAACCAAACGGCTAAGTGGACTGGGGTGAAAGTTAAGCCCCAAGATGAGTACTTAACCCCACCCCAGCACGGGTACTCGTTTTTCCCCGCGACCCGGTGTACCCAGTCACACACGCGCACCCAACCAGGGTGTGTAGGGTAGAAGGAGGAAAAGAAGAGGAGGCTTGGGATAGATTTGGCTCGAAGGACAAAAAGAGGAATAGATTTGGCTCGAAGGACAAGGAGAAGGAAAAAAAGAGGAGCTTGTGATAATAATAATAATGATAAGAAGAAGAAGAAGAAGAAGAGCTTTTACGTTAGAAGCTAGGCCACCGGCCGGGCCGCCCGGGTCCCGGGTGGCCAGCCCGTGCGCGAACCAGGGAAGGTCCCAGCAAGAAAAAAAAAAAAAAAAAAATCCAAAAAA